AAAATCTTCCTGGATGGAAGAGAAACGTCTTTAAACTTGGAAACAAAGTCCAGTGGATTGATTATTTTTAATTTTTTTTGAGTTTGTTTCTTTTCTATATTAATTTTACTTATTTATTTATTTCCTATAGTGATTAATCTCAGTGCATGCATTTAGTAGTGTTTGTATTTCTGCTTTTGTGCACCACTTTGTCCGTGCTGGTCTTTAAAAGTCACCGTATGCGAGTGAATCTAAGACGCTAGTTTAGGTGTAGAAATAAAAACCTTTGCAGCTGTTGATTTTTCTCCTTCAGACGACGGAGAAATATTCTGGAGGATTAAATGCCTGCAGACTTACGGCAGTTAGCTTCGTCCGAGCCGTCCTGGCAGTGCGGGTGGCCATCGCAGCGCAGCCACTCCTGGATGCAGTGGGGGGGGTGATCGCACTGGAACTGCCCCTGACCGCAGCGTCCGGGGGCCGGGGGAGGGCCCGCCGTCATGGAGCTGTTAGCTGCTGTCAGAGGAAGCAGAAGAAAGTTCCAGATAATCTGCTTCAGTCTAGAAACCCAACTGGCTAATACAGCTGGTTGCTTAGCAACACATGGAGTTTCTCTGGCATAAAACATGTAGCTACTCTTCCTGCCGTCTGACTGGATGACCAAAGGAAAGGAATGTCAACCATTATTCCCTTAGAAACCGAGACGTCGAAGTTCATTGACAAGCTGGGACCCTAGAAACCCGGATCTGGTGCTGAATCATCGGAAAGTTTCTGCCTTTTCCACAAAGTATCAAACCTAAAAAAATTCCTGAACAGATCATTTCAACCTGTGGGACATCCGAGCTCATCGCTGCCGTCAGGACAGTCGGCGTAGCCGTCACAGACCCAGGTGTTGATGATACAAGCTCCTGTGCCGCAGTGGAAACGGTTTGGGGCGCAGGTGATGGGCCCAGAGGTGGCAGCGTGCGGAGTGGCGCCCCCTGGAGGAGACGCATGACCTGTTAGTCCAGGAATAAGACAGAATGTAAAGAGAGCTTTGGTCAGGAAACCAACCTGTGCACTGGGCCTCGTCCGACCAGTCGCCACAGTCGTTCTCTCCATCGCACTTCCACCACGTAGGAATACAGCGACCGTTCCTGCATTCAAACTGGAAATACCTGGAGCAGCCCGGCATCTCAGTGGGAGCAGCTGGAACGAAGACAGTCAGAATGATTTAACGGTTCCAAACGGTGCGTACGCATCGCAGCGTGAGTAGGAGGAATCTCCTCCTCACCGCAGTTGGCTTCGTCAGAGTAATCCCCGCAGTCGTCCATGCCGTCGCACTTCCAATCCAGGCTCACGCACATTCCGTTAGCGCACTCAAACGTGTAGGAATCGCACACTTTGCCAAACTCAGACGGCGTAACTGAAAGAGAGGGAAACAAAAACTCAGTCTTCGTGGAAATCAGAAGAAAATACATTAAAATGCAAGTTTTGCTGAAAACAAAAAAGCAAAAACATATTTAGGTAAAAAAATTGCTCCTCCCCTTTAACATTTGGATCCACTGAAGGACGCTGGGACTTTCACAGCACTAGTGGGGTTTTTTTTCGCACAGTAAACTGACAGGAAGGGGATAAGAGAGAGGGGGAGAGACATGCGGGAAAGGACCACAGGTCGGACCCAAACCTGGGTCAGCCGCGTCGAGGACTAAGGTCTCGATACATGGATCATGCGCGCTAACTGCTGCGCCACCAAATCATGGCGGCTGTGACTTTTTTAACGTTTTTTTCCCTACATCCACCTTTTAGAAAAGACACGTATTAAAGTAAAAGTCCGCTCATATTCAGAATACAAACTTCTGAAAGTACTTTAAATATTAAATTATTACTAATTGTTCTATTACATATTGTTCAATAAATGATAAGTGTTTTTAATTTTCATTCTAATGTGCTTTACTGGAGGCATCCATGTTTGTCAAAGAACATGTAACCTGCATTAAATAATCACCCGCAGGAAAGCACACTTTAAGTTTTGGTTCGAAGGTGAACTCGGATCTCTTCTGTTGCTGTTGCCGCTGTTGCTGTGGCTAGCTGCTCATGTTGGCGTTTTCCTAAATCGCCGAAGAATGCTGTGAAAACAGCCGAAGCATTGCAATGAGTGCGCTGTGACAACCACTCGACGGTCAGTTGTTGATCCTCTGTCATTTGTTCTTTTTTTAAGTAGAAACTCGGCGGTGACACGCCCACTTATAACTTATGTATTGGCGTTTTAAAATGGTTTTGTGGTCTAAAAAACCATTTTCTTTTGTTAATTATGTGGCCAAATGAAAGATATGCTGTTAAAGTGTTATATAAGCCCTTTGATTTTGTCCTTTAGGGATTCTTTTAGTTATTTTTTTTTTACTATTATTTTGATTTTGTGAACGGCCAATGGAACTCTGCACTTGGTTGGTTTCTCCGTAGTTGCGCAACAAAACCAGAAACCAATTAAATGTTTGTTGAAGTAGAATTTAAGCAGTGTCAATTAAAATTTGATAGAATTTAAAAATGCACTTCTTTGATATCTTGTCTGACTTTACTTTGATATTTTTACTAGAGCTGTAACATTGTGATTAACTTGAAACTTATTTGAATGATTCCTGATAAATATTATTGAGAATATAGTTAATTATGTTTCTGAATGTTTAGTTGTTGGGTAGCAGTTTAACTCTGGTTAAATGCAAATTTTTGTTTTATGTATGACCTCGTTTAGGTCAGGTTTTTCCCCCCCCCCCAATTGTCTCTACGTCAGGATGGCGAGCTACCACTGGATCGCCGCAGCTTTGCGGTAGGATGCCATTATTTATTTTTTTTCCCCTTCCCTTGGACAATGGACTAAACCAGTTGGACTATTGTTTGGTGAATCATTTATCACCTTATCAAAAAAACCCACGAACTTGAATAAGAGAAAGAAAAACTCTTGTGTCTCATCAGGGTTTATTTATTTGTTTATTATTGTTGTTTTCTTGTTGTGTTCATTGTCTATATTTATAAAAAAATATATATCATTATTCAATACCTACCTAAATATATGAAAAAGTATGCATTAAAATAGAATACCTTAACTTTATTTTCTGTCGGATGGTGTTTATTCACACACAGGCTCCTCAGCCGACTCTTTCTGATTGCCATACCAACAAACTTGGCCGTAGTCAGGCGCCTAGCCTTAACTAGCGTTACAAACACTACTGCCACCTACTGGTTAGTGACATTGTCACGGTGCGGTATCGGCTGTTGATCAAGTCCCAGTGCTGTATCTGGTGTTTGTCACAACGCGCTATTATCCAAGTCATCTTGAAAACATTCTTCTTCCAAATGTTGGCTACATATTACGTGTTTTTTCTCTGGCCAGAAGTTCGATGGCAAATCCTCCCTCTTCAAGTTGGCGATCCAACGACCAACCCGTCCGTGGAGGATCAGGAATCAGAAAGGTGGAATAACTCTTTTTTTTCTCTTTTCCCCGATGTATTCCAGCATCCAGCTGCCATGCACGTGGGCATTGTCAGTTTCACTATAGCTCTGGTGAATTTCAATGGTGAAGTCCTCTGGAAATCTTCAATAATTGTTGTTGATTGCAGATGTGTCTAGTAGTTCCCATTGATTTAGCTTGGAAAGCGGGGAGAATGGCGCTAGGCTTACCGCACCGTGACGTCACTGCTGGAAGATGGCAGGAGGGAGGGGCTACTATATTTGGGCAAAGATGGCCGCTCCCAGACTCAGAGATCGGCACGAAAATTATTGTTTTAATTTTTTTACTAATTAATGCTAAATTCAATAAATCACCACAAATGTAAAAGTATAAAAGTTTTAGTTATAAATAATGACCCATTGGTTATTCCTTGCTGACCGAACTACTTTAACTTTTATTGTCTAAACCGTCCAATGTTCATCTATTAGAACCAATCAGCCAGTCAGTAGCTTCATGGCTGAAATATGCTCACGCGTTGGGTCGTCGCGCCGTGCACGCCATGTGCGAGCCCATAGAAGCACTGTACTCTTTATAGTCCACGGGATGTAGGCGCAGTACCCGCAAAAACACATAGGGGCAGTGATCAACATAACGAGCAAAAATGCAGAAAAAAAACAGAAAAAGATGACGTTCCACTTCCAAAATGGCTGAATATAGTTTTGTTTATTTAGGAATTGATGATAATGGAAGAATAGTAGGTGAATTACACAGAAATATACGATGGAATAAAAGGGCGGGTTTAGCTGCTGCACAAAGGGAGACGTGAAGATGGGTACACAACCCAAACAGACCTTTTTATTTTGGAACATATAAATAAAATAAAAAAAAAATGCTGTTTCACAAAAAAAAGCTGAATTCATTAAGTACTATGGGTGGTTTATGCTAGTTACGGTTTTCAGTTATCCAGGTCAGAGTCATTCCAAAAAGTTAAAAATCAATCCACTGGACTTTGTTTCCATGTTTGAAGACGTTTCTCTTCCATCCAGGAAGTTTTTTCAATTCAAAATGTCAGAAATAGCGTTTAGTTCCAGGTTTTATCCAGCAGCCCAACAAAGCCTGGCTTTAGTTTAGAAAACATGCAAATAGAAACGGATGAACGGGTCCCCCCCCTTTGGAATGGGGGTGGTTTGGCTTCTTAGTTAGCCTGCAATGCCCCATACCTGTCTATGCCTCTGAAAGGGGGGTCGTTAGAGGGAATAGTTGGAATGGCTGAATAGGGGAGGTCTTCTGTTCTCCTGTAAAGGGTTTGGGGTTATGATGATAGTGGGATGGAATCAACTCTATCGCTGCATTGTAGGTTTTTGAAGCTGAAACCTGAGTACCCCCCCGCCCCCTGTTTGAGGTTGGTTTTTCTTTCTTAACATAGATGGCTTCCTTCACGCCCCTCTCAAACCACCTGTCTTCTTTGTCCAAAATGTGAACATTCTGGTCCTCCAAAGAATGTCCTTTGTCTATAAGGTGTATATCTACACTCAAACTCTACGCTATTTCTGACATTTTTAACTGAAAAATATTCCTGCATGAGAAGCGAAACATCTTCAAACTTGGAAACAAAGTTTTTTTTTAGTTTTCAGTGAGCAAGGTTCTGTTAAATCGACTCGTACCTCCTGTATACTACACGACACAGTACACTAGCCTCGTGAGACCATCCTGATCTCGCGAGCTTTCAAGATTTCACTCTCTAATCAGTCTGGAGACTCTCCGTTAAAGAAAATTTGGAGCCGTTCACCAAACGAACGTCCAATCAGCGTTGGCTTTGAGGCGGGTTG